TGAGAGGGGTACCCAATTGAAACCCAATGCGCACATAAAGGCTAAGAGGTCAGGGTATGCAATATTCGTGCTGTTAGTGTTGGTTATATATGCCACTTGGGGGGTGTATAGGTATCAATATGAGAGTCTCCCTGAGCCACTCGGAGCTGAGCATGCCGGTAAAAGAGGCTTTTCTGAGCTCCTGGCCATGGAGCATGTTAAGGCATTGACAAAACTTGGCCCACATCCCGTCGGTTCTGATAATCTAGCCACTGCCCTGCAGGTGTAGTACATGTTAAGTTGTGTCTCATAGATTGGTTCATTTTTTTGTCTAACTTTGTTTCTAATATGTACATTAGAATTTCTATAATAAAGAGAATTCAATCTATGCTAAAGCTCATAGTTTTGAAAGGTGTGCCTCAGTGTGCCTTGCCCCCTTAATAACTATGGTTAAGCTTTCATTTTATTGAGTATTAGGTTAGTTTGGATTGAGGGTTTCGGAGGGCTAAATCTATATCATGATGGGTGATCATATGACAATTCAATCACCCTTCATTCATTTTTAGTAGGACTCTGTTTATCAAGATGTGGAATACACCTACCAAAGCCTTCCCTTCCAAAACCCTCCATCATAACTAACCCAAGGGCATATGACGAAGTAACAAACACACTAAAAGTGGAAGCTAAATCTGGTTCATGTATTTCGTTGCAGTATGTCTTGCAAGTATCAGAAACTATTAAGAAGGAGGCTCATTGGGAAGTTGATGTGGAAATTGACCTTTTTCATTCCAAATCTGGTGCTAATCATCTTGTCGGTGGGCTTTTTAAGGGGAAAACCCTTGTTTATTCGGATCTGGATCATGTTGTAGTGAGAATATCTTCAAAATATGAAACTAATGCAGAAGAAAATGCCATTCTTGTTTCTTCCCACATTGATACAGTTTTCTCTGCGTATGTGTTTATATTATTAGTACTTGCTCAAAAGTTACATATTAACATAATATGGATATAACCATACACTCAATGTATTTTTATAACCACTGCATTTGGATAAAATCAATATGCTCATGATGATACACTGCCTCTTAATCATCATTAGCTCTGGAAAAAAAATTCCCTTGGAGTTTTATGATTAGCCATTCTTCAAGTTATGTCATTGACAAGAAACCGTCTATATGTTTTTTGGTTGGATGTTTTTTTCATTAGAGAAGGAGCAGGAGACTGTAGTTCATGTGTAGCTGTTATGTTGGAGCTTGCTCGAGGAATTTCTCAATGGGCCCACAGTTTCAAGAATTCTATCATATTCTTGTTTAATACTGGGGAGGAGGAAGGCCTGAGTGGTGCTCATAGCTTTGTAACTCAGGTTTTCCAGTCTTCTTCACCGGAAAACTTGCTCTATATGCCCAGCCTTTGTTTACTGCCCATTTATTTCTGGTTTTGTTTTTTAGCTGTATAGAGAAAGTGACCTACCCTTTTTTACCTAATCAAAGAATATATTTACTTGCATCCTCATTCAACATATATATGTAGGGGAAAAAAGGTATGATGTAATAGATTTGATCAAGTTACATGCTTGGATCTATAGATCAGCAAAACTACAATCAAAATATTTAGGCAAGTGAGGAGAAAATAATAACCATACCGTGAGAAGCGATTCTATCACATAATGTAGCACATCCATGCGGAAGTAAAGTTTCTCGTCCTTCAATGCGGATTATACAATTTTTCTACTCATATCAAGAGTTTCCTTCAATGCACGAGCCTCACAATAAGGGGAGTGCACGACTCTCAAATTAATGAGGTTACTAGCTTCAGTATCCTAAATCAAGAAATAATTAATGTAAGTATTATGTTACTGAATATGTCGAATGTTCATTAGATTAATAAATTGAATTTTGCAGGTGAGCTAGTTCCTTTTTAGAACTCACTCATTTTAAGGCCATTCCTAGAGAAACGCAAACCAACATAGCATAACTTCTATATGCTCCTCTTTTAAGAGAAGGGTCCAACAATGGTGAGGTGATTTGGTAGTTGTGCCAAAAGCATTGCTGAGATTTTTTCGTAGATATGAAATGAACTCTAGCACCTCAGCAGTTGTTTCATTTCATATCAAAGCAAAAATTTCAGCAAAGTTATTGGCATGACTACCAAATCACCACTGTGGGAATGTTCTGTTGAAGCAAGAGCAACTATGGCCAGTGGTATAAAAAGGCACATGCTATTAATGAAATGTACTCCGTAATACAATAGTTTAATGAAAATTTGAGATATTCAATAACATAAAACTTGCATGAATTATTTTTCAGTTTAGGAAATTAAAGTTGGGAACTAGTTATTAAAAGTCAGTTGTGCACTTCCATGGAGCTCTTGTACCTTAATTGTGAGGCTCGTGTGTTGAAAGAAGCTTGGGTCAGACTGCGTACATCTGACCGCCCCCCTCTCTTACCCCGCAATGGGCGGGGGCCTTTGAGGCACTGGGGTAATGTTGGTGTTGTATGCATTGAAGGAAGCTCTCCATTTGAATATAACACTGGTACTGGCCATATTAAAGAATGGACTTCACAGACGCATTATGTGCTACACTATGTGATGGAATCACTTTTCTAGAAATGATTATTATTTCCTACTTGCCTAAAGATTTAGATTTTAGGTTAGTTGACCTGCATATCCAAACATGTTACTCGTTCAAATCTATAAGAACATACCTTTTGTTTCTGCCTCCATTAGATTGGGGACAAATGGTTCATTATTATCTAACCTCATACATTTCATTTTTAATCATTTTTCTTAAATTCCGCAAAGTCAAATTGTGAAATCAATTGCAAAATGAAGAAAGTATAATTAATGAAGGGATATTTTTGACAACTCAAGCGTGAAAAAATCCAACTTTTTGAAGTTGTAGTACCATTTTAAGGCCGGAGTATAAATAATGGGAGTTACGTAATACGGAGCACTCCGTATGTGGACTTTGAGATGGGTGCGGTCAGTGGTGATCATTAAAGAAAATATGTACTTGTGTCCTTTGCTACTTCATAAAAGAAAATAGATAATTACCTTTTACTTTGAATATGTAAGAAATAATTAGGACTAAAAATAAGTATGGACATGTCTACTTCTAAAGGCTGAAATATTTTTCAATCAACCTCTCCTGTTCTTCATGCAGCACCCCTGGAGTGGTACTGTACGACTGGCTATTGACTTAGAAGCCATGGGCGTTGGTGGAAAATCAGGAATTTTTCAGGTCTATTTTTGTCATCTACAATTAATTTGAATTATTTTCTGCTTTGGTCTCATTCTATGTGCACATTTACTGTGCTGAAAACGTAATAAAGGTCAGAGCCATGCTTGAACTTTGTAATATTTCGCTCAATGTACTAAACTACTAATCAGGTTTACAATTGCATTCGCCGGATGCTTATATTTTTCTACACCCCTTGGTCTTCCTTTGGTTTCTCTTTCTGATTCTTGTTCCCTTTCCTACTCTTCTTCTTTGTTTAACAGGCTGGTCCTGACCCTTGGGCAATTGAGAACTTCGCACAAGTGGCAAAATTCCCATCTGCCCAAATTGTTGCACAGGTCTGTCGTGCATAATGTTTGAGTTTATGAAACATCTTACTTTCTATTTCCAAATTGATTTATAAGTTACGTCCGCACACAGATATGATGTTTCATTCTGGACTACTTGCTACTGCAGGATTTATTTTCTTCTGGGATAATAAAGTCAGGAACTGATTTTCAAGTGTATAGGGAACTAGGTGGTCTTTCTGGCCTTGACTTTGCATTTACAGAAAATACAGCTGTATACCACACTAAGGTAAGACATGAAAACTCAGACATTCTATATTCAATTCCCAATATATGGGCTGTAGTGAGAACATTTTTTAGTAGAAGTTAATGGTTCAAGTCCAATTATAATACATAAAAGTTGTTTCTCTGTCTTTGATCAAGTGCTTTTCTTTCGTATCCAGAATGACAAGTTAAGTCTCTTAAAACCCGGTTCTCTTCAACATCTTGGTGAAAATATGCTTGCTTTTCTGCTCAAGGCTGCAACATCAACAAATCTTCCTAGCAGCAAGGCAACTGGATCAAATAAAGATCCTCACCTCGATATGGCCGTGTATTTTGATATTTTGGTAGTTCAAATCACACAACATTATAATGCCTTAATTTTTCTTTTGGTTTTTGGGTTTGTTTGGAATCTGGAAATGGTGGGTAAATGAAAAAAATGTCAAAGGAAATGGTTATTATGTGTTTGACTTTACCATGAAAAATATGAAGGAAAATCAAATTTGATTAATAAGTGACGAGAAATCAGAACACCCCGTTAGAATTGAGGCGTATATTCCTACAGGGTAGTGATACAACCAACTATGATGTATGAGTATGAGTGGTGGGTGATAAAGAAGGCACACGAGCAGAAGCTGGAAAATGCAGAAATCAGTATGTGGCAGTGGACTTGTGCTCGTACCATGTTGAACTGAATATGGAATGAGGTCTTTTGGGGAGTCACGGATGGAAGTTAGGAATTAGGATTGATGCCCACCCAATGCCCAAGGTAGACAGGTTTCACCGTTTTGGCATCTTGGCTCCGTCATTTAGGCGGATGGAGATTTGGACGAGGATGTTGTCCATCATGTTGGAGCAGCTTGGGCTAAGTGGATGTTGGCTTCGGGGTTCTGTGTGATATGAAGATTTAAGCTAAAATGAAAGGTATGTTCTACCGGTCCGTAGTCAGGCCAAACTATGTTGAGTGGTGCAGAGTGCTCAGCAGTTAATAAAACCCACATTCGCAAATGCATGCTGTGGAGATGCGGATGCTGCGGTGGATGAGTGGGAAGACGAAGATGGATAGGATTCAAAACAAGGTTATCCGAGGACAAGTAGGCCTGGTTCTTGTGGAGGATAAGCTACGAGAAGCTTGGTTGAGGCGGTTTGGGCATGTGAGGCGGCAGAGTGTTGATGCACTTGTGCAAAGATGCGATAGGCTTACGTTTGTGGGTGGGAGTATGGGAAGGGGTAGAAGAAGAATTGGATGGAGGTGATTAGTCAGGACCTTTGACTTGTTGTCCTTACTTAGGATATGGCCTTAGATAGGAGCGTGTGTAGAGCTAGGATTAGGGTAGTCGGGTAAGCACTTTGGGCTAAGTGGTAGTTTCTCCTCTTGTTGTGTGCTTTGTATGCTTGGTGCTCTCCGCTAGCTGTGTCTTTAATTTGCCTCATTTTATTGGTTTGTTCTTTTCCTGTGTGTGCTTTTTGCCATCTCTGCTATATATGCCTTATGTGAGCTGGGGGTCTCATTGACTAACGCATTCTCATCCAAAACAAAAAATAGGGAACATACATGATTGTATACCGCCAGCGCCTTGCTAATATGCTCTATAGTTCAGTGATACTGCAATCTCTTTTAATATGGATTGCATCACTCTTTGTGGGAGGATATCCAGCTGTTGTTTCTCTAGCCTTATCATGTTTGGGCATCATACTCATGTGGATAGGATCTATAGCTTGTTCTGTTTTTGTCACTTTTGTCCTTCCCCTTGTATCACTGTCACCGGTTCCCTTTGTGTCAAGCCCATTGCTGGTAGTTGGGTTGTTTGGTGGACCTGCCCTTCTTGGAGCTTTGAGCGGTCAGCATTTCGGTTATCTCATTCTTGTGAAGTACTTGTCACAAACAAAGGGAACATTGCCTCCATCCATCCAAACTGGTGTGGCTGAGTTAGATGCAGAAAGATGGATGTATAAAGCTGGTCTCTTCCAGTGGTTTGTTCTCTTGGCATTGGGACATTTTTTCAGGATTGGTTCTTCTTATCTGGCCTTTGTTTGGCTAGTTTCGCCCGCATTTGCTTGTAAGTTGCAATTTACACCTTTCTATTTCCATGCAAGATAATGAGAAAGTAAGGAACATCGAGGATATGTTTATTTCATGGGCTATCAAAGGGTGTTTAGTAGGCCTCTAGTTAGTAAGCTCGTGCTTAATAAATAAATTTATACTTCAAAAATATAATGGGATTGAGTCTCTAATACAAACCATATACTTCACAAGGGTTAATAACATGTACTCCGTATTAAATAGGGAGAGCCATATTTTCCCTTCTTCACGGATTGAAATGCAGCAAGTTGGCTGGTGCACCGCTGGCAATGATTTAAAACTTCGTAATTTTAAATATGTGTATGTAAAAGTTGAGTGTTGGCCCACTGGTAGAGAAGTTAAAATTGAGGATTGATTGGTAATTTTAAAAATCCAAAATGTTGGTTAAATAATACAGGGGAGGGGTCATGCAGCTGTAAAGCTACACTTATGGTCAATCTGGCTATTAAGCAGGCTTTAACCCATCCAATGAGTTTACTTCACCTGCATTAATACTAACGGCATGTTTAAAGGCATAGTAAGCATAAATAACATGTTTCACTTACTTTTATGTACTTTTTTTTCTTCTCAAAATTAGAGTTTGGTTGAAATCCCATTCTTGTTAGTTCAAAGGTTATTGAGTTGATGAAGAACTTTTAAACTGATTTATATGTTCTGGAATCCAGATGGTCTTCTTGAAGCAACATTGTCACCTGCCCGGCTACCAAAACCTCTCAAAACTGTAACCTTGCTGATTGGATTGTTTGTACCTTTTTTAATTTCTTCTGGCTTGGTTATCCGGCTGGTTGCTACAGTAATTGGAGGTTCTGTTCGGTCTGTAAGGTAGTATTATAACAGCCCAGCAATTTATACATTTCAAGACGTGTCTAAAACACAACTATTGAACCCCCTGAGGTTTTAAAACTGGATACATGTGTGAATCTAGTGAAAACTGGTCAACAAAGATACCTAATTAGTTGTGGTAAAAATAATCACTACCAGCTCATCTCATAAAAATGGGAATTTGCACAATTATTACAAAACGACGATCCAATTATAAACTGAATAATGCTGATTTTTCATTCACCAGAATTCTTTTGGGGTTCTGTTTGATCTGTTTATTAAAGCTTAAAATACTTTGGGTTGTATAGATTAAACTGTTCCGGCGGAAGGTTATTTAAAAACTTAAAAAAGAGATGGTAGGCCCTACTGTATTTGGCTGCCTGAACATGATTTTACCTTTTCTGACTTGTCCTTCCATGGCACGTTTTGGAATTCCATTGTTAGTTCATAATTTATCTTTATATTTTTACTGGTATTCTTGTGAACATTTGGAGATCGATATTTTTGTTATGATTTGCAGGAATCCAGGAGACCAGCCGGAATGGCAGGGGAATGCAATTCTTGCAGTATTTGTTGCGGCTATAGTATGCTTGACAATGGTGTATCTTCTCTCATATGCTCATATTTCAGGCAACATTTCTTAACCATCTATTGACCAAACCTTGTAATTTGTCTATCCTTTCAAGACAGATAAATAGATGTAGAATATTGATTTATATTGCGCTCTGTTTTCAGGTGCAAAGGCTCCAATTATAATTACAACGTGTATATTGTTTGGCATCTCACTTACCATGGTGTCATTAGGAGTTAATCCACCATTTACTGAAGATGCTGCAAGAGCCGTAAATGTATGTTTGATCCACAAAGGATATGAAAGACCAACATGGGAATTCTGGGACCGCTCACCCGGGTTCGATCCCCAGAGGAAGCAAGGGGAAGGGACTATTATGGGGTTTTCTTAGGGAGTAGTTTGGGCTGTAAAAATGAAGGGCTGAGGTTAACAAGCCGCGGCTCCATGGTTGTAGCGAGCTTTAGTTCTTGTGGCATTCGTTTTTGCCCAACCCTTGCACATGGTTATTGATATTTTAAAACTGGGTTGCAGTAGGTTCGAACCTCTGACCTCTTCATCAACCTGGCTCTAATACCATGCCAACAGAAACCAACTCAACCAAACCGAACCAGAAAAAGTTTTATACTCTAGCAGTTCGGGCTGTACTTCTAAAAAAGATGTTTTTGACTGTTTTGCAGGTTGTGCATGTTGTGGATGCATCAGGAAAGGAAGAACCAGTGTCACACATCTCTTTGTTTTCGACAACTCCTGGAAACTTGAACAGAGAGGCCAGAGAGATGGGAGAAGGTTTTGTCTGCGGTAGGGATAAGCCTTTTGATTTTGTGACTTTCTCAGTCAAGTACGGCTGTTGGACAACCAAAAATGCCGAAGTTGGGTGGAATAAATCAGATATTCCCATGCTTCACGTCGAGAGTGACGTGAAGGGGAATAGCAGCAGAGTTAGTCGCATCCTTGTTGATACAAGAGGTTCCACTCGATGGAGCCTTGGAATCAACACTCATGAAGTAGAAGACTTCCTTCTCAAAGGTGCAACTTTTCATTCATCTCTCTAAACTATGGTTTAAACTACTCCCCTGTTCCTAAATAAACTTCAGTTTACGGTATACGATGTTTGATCAAAGTTATTTTCAATTCAATTTATTCTAATATTAGTGCAAACTTTAAAGAAGTCAAATTTACATATTTCAAAACGGGTTTTTTGCGCCATTTACTCTTGAACTTTTCAAGAATTACGCGAATTCATCCCAAACTTAAAAAATTGCACCAATGCCCCTTGAACTTTTAAAAATGTTGCACCAATGGTTCCTCTATGCCAGATTTGGGATTGCATTAATCACACGCGCATCTAGTGCAAGTATGAACTCATCTAAAGTCATACATCACACATGAGTTCTGCAAAATATATTCTTCGCAAACATGATTTTCTATATATTTAACCTCTTTAAACCCTAGATAATTATTCTCCATTTAGTCGTCGATAACCAAATTTGAAGGCCAGATATCAGTCGATAAAGCTCTAATCAACCGATCAACCTCTTCATCAATCCATGACATCTTCATCAAGCTCCAACACATGTATTGATAAACGTGTGATTAACGCACTCTCAAATCTAGCATAGAGGGACCGTTGGTGCAACATTTTTAAAAGTTCAAGGGGCACTTTGTGCAACTTTTTAAGTTCGGGATGAATTCGCACAATTTTCGGAAAATCTCAGGAGTAAATGGCACAAAAAACTCTTTCCAAAACTACATAAAAGGTTTTCGAAACAAGAGGATGTTATTCTAAGAAATGAGAATGAGTAATGAAAGAAGGTTTGACCCCGTGAATATAGTGAAAGTGAAGTTTATTTAGGGAGAGAAGGAGCACTACTATAATGTTAAGTGTTCACCAAATGTGTAATGTGACCATCTTTTCACACAGATGGTTCTGAGGAGTTGGTCTCACTTGGAGAGAAAACCATCGTGGACGGTTGGCACACGGTTCAATTTGCTGGAGGCAAGAAAGCACTGACCGAGTTCGAATTGACTCTCTTCTGGCACAAAACCCGGTCTCACATGAGAGGCGCGGGAGCCGAAGCGGGACCCACCTTGCTGAAACTGAGAACTGATGTGGACAGGCAGACACCACAAACTGCAGAGGTTCTGAAAAAGCTTCCTTCTTGGTGCTCTCTGTTTGGGAAGTCCACATCACCTTACACCTTAGCTTTCTTCAATGCTTTAAATGTTTCATTTTAGTGTTAACTACATTTGCACTCGTGCGTTGCACAACAAGAAAATTTTATCATGATTTGTGCATGATTATAATAAGATATGATGCAATTAGAATACTGGAAATAAAAAATGGGGTGTTGCAATAGAGTGAATTTTATCACTTTTAAGGGCAAAATTGTTTATTTAATTTAGAAGGAATGGATGTATCCAAAATGAAGGTGAATATAACAACACTTAAAAATGTCTATGCTGGTGCTTATTGGCTTATTGCTGATAAATAGTTCCTAATTTATAAACTGTTTATAAGTCAATTATTTTTTCATGGAACTAAAATGACTTTAATGATAAATAAGTCACTTGGAAATATTCAGAAATAGTGAGGGACAGTATTGTAAATAATATGGTCAAAACCGAGAAACAAAAGAACTAACTTAGAAAAAAGTAGCTAAAACATACTTATTGTTTCTAGCTTATAAGTAGTTTATAAGTCAGTTTATAAGCACACAGAAACATGTCATCTGTTGACTTATAAGTAATTGATTATTAATAAAATAAAATATTCATGCCTTCTAAGAACTTGTGATGTGGTTTTTAAATATGTAAATTTTGTTTTTATTTTTATAATGAATTGAAAAGTTTAAATATCGTTTTGCTTAAGGTAACAAACATTTTGGGATGGAGGGAGTAAGTCTTATACTTTGTCATATACTCCATCCGTTTCGCTATATTCGTCCACTTTTGACTTTTGCAATTGTTCATCTAAGCATTTTGACTCATCAAATTCTCGCAATGTGTAAGCCTAAATATAGTCATGTGTGATCTTGTTTGATTTGTCTTAACATATAATCCGTAGATTATTAATATATAATTTATATAATTTTTTAATATACAAATTACAAGATAAAATGGATTAAAGAAGTGTATTGGATAGTGTGTAAAAATGAAAGTGGACAAATACTCTGGAACGGAGGTAGTAATTTGTCTCAGCTCCAAACAATATAAACAATATTGGCAAGGTTTTTTTGACCCTCAAAACAATGGTCATATTTTGACACAGGTACTTACGGTGCTCTATTGGTAAAATTAATAATTCTTGTTCTCCCTAATTTTCCAAACTCCCCTAGCTCTTCCCTGCACCCCACCCCCCACCCGCTCCCTAAATCTCAGATTTGGCAGGGCCATTATAGGCACACATAATCTTCTTAATTGCTATCTACTATGGTATTGCATTTGCCTTTAACTTTTGCTTGGTGAGATGAGATAAATTGCGAGTTTCACTTCATACCTTGATAAACTGTAGGGAGAAATTGTCAAATACTAACACACAATGTCAAATTATGTGTGTTTTATAATGCTAATACTCTCAATATTATAATTGTTTTATTTTGGACAATATGTAAAAACTCATCGCTTTTAAAAATACTTTATTTACAATGTGAATAGAAATAAAGAATACAAATTACATATTTCAAAATTTGTATCAAAAGTTAAATAATACGGGTATATGATATAAATATTTTATTTTATCAAATAATTAGTTATAATACATAAATAAGTAAAACTTATCAAGAGACCAGAGTAGTACTCCCTCCGTTCGTAAATAATTTACACACTTTACTATTCAAAAATCACGTAAACTTTTGTTTATTTGTGTCTTTTCATTGACTATTTGAACAAATAAAATATTTTTATCATTTCTTGTTTTGTAAAACTTTTGATGTACTTTTTAAATATGTAAATTTTATTTTTTATTCATATATCAATCTTTAAATAAAATGAATTGAAAAAGCTTGGGATTTTACTTCGTGTTGCATAAGGAGTAAATGATTTAGGGATGAAGGGAGTATTTGGAACATATAGAGAAGGAACACTATAAATGAAGTTTCGCTGGGAGTTTTTGTATTTTTTTAGAGGGAAGTCTTCAAAACTTTCCCTCAAAAGTGTAATTTTAAGTTTTTTTTACATGTTTTTTAACCGATTTTATCCGTCGTAAAAATCGACATGTTTTGGTTTTGATTTGATAAACTTTTGATGTGTTATTGATACTTGAATTGTAATTTGGTTCTTTTTTCTTATTGTCTTAATTTTGGTTCATGCTAGAAACTCACCATGATTGTCTCTATACATAATAATCACAAGTGATTGTATACATACACAAGCCATAAATTATTACATGCATCTAGTTGAATGGTTCTCTCCACACCCGGAGTCACCTTTTGGAGGAAGGTGATGGATTGCCGACCGGCACAAGAGCGGCGACGATCTGAGCCACGACAACATCGACAATGGCTATGACCTCCATTGCATCGATGACGCTCCTTGCGTTGAAGATGGAGACGAAACAGTAATGAAGAAGAACAAGAGGTGCTCTACAATCAGTCATCTCTTTGAAATCCTAGTTGATCTATAGCGACAGATGGATTGGTACTCATTTATATTCTGAGTAGTATTCATTCATTTTGGTAATTAAATGTGTTCATCCTTCTGTGTGCTAGTGCTCATTCTATCATGTCATGAAACTCCTTACCTAACGAGCGTTTATCTATTTGAGCTTGTACTCTTTTTGTATATTTTAAAACAATTTTGGTAATGATATATGTTCATTCTTATGCTCCATATATATGATAGTACTCATTCTCTTTCATCATAGTACTCATTTGTAGTATATATATATATTTGTCGGATTACCTAAATCTAGATACGCCCAACTATAAGATGATAGTACTCATTGTCTTTTATCATAGTACTCATTTGTAGTCTAAATATATTTGTCGATTTTACCTAAATCTAGATATACCCAACCAACTGTAAGATTTATCAACTAATACACAGTCAATAATTATTTGTGTTCACAAACGAGTATCAACCCAATAGCTATACTATGCTATTTCACCAATTCTGATCATGCACCGAAATAGGATGACCTAGATGACCTATAAGTAAGACTTTTTCTTTCGTTTCACTCTCCACTCTTGAGATTGGTTATGAAACAAATGTTCCATTTTTTTCGGAGACCGCTGAGAAATCATATCTTTCTCGCCTTCCGTTTCAAGAAAGGAAGGATGTATACATAAATAATCTATGATTGCCTTAGATTTCTTTTTTTCAAACTTTAGAATGAAAATATTTTTTGAAAGTTAAAGCCATATTTACTTTTTCAATGAGGTGTAAAGTATTAGAGTAGATAATTGAAAATTTGGAACAGAAGCAAGAATTAGAACAGCATCATCTCATCTTCAACCTTTCTCAACCTTTCGCCCATTTCCACTTCACGCGAGGGACAGCACAGAGTCTATCTTAAGATCGGGTCAGAATTGGATCGTTTCGGTCCAAAAGGAATGCGGGCTTTACCATTCGGAGCTGACGGTGTTGCCGCGGCTGCTACTTCTTCTCTTTCATCATCGTCGTCCCCGTCCTCAGTTCTTGCAGATTTCATCAACGTATCTGTGAATCTGGGCTTCTTCAACAAGATCCATTTCCAGTCTTCTCCCATTCTCAGAGCTTCTAGTCTTCCTTCTCATGCTTCTTCTATATCCCCTCTTCCCAGATCAGGTTCAATTCGGCTTCCTTTTTATATCTTCGTTACTATATTACTGCCTTACGATTCATAATATATTCATTCAGGCTTTACCAATTAAACAAAAATTATAATAAATGTTAGTAAAAAATGATTTAATTAGATATATCTTAATTAAATATTTGCTTATTTTATTTTATTAATATACAATGTAGTACTCCGTATTTCTTTAACTGATGACAGAAGTTCTTCCCAAAATTCAGGTTGTACAAAATAATTATAGTGAATTGCCAAAAGTGCTCGTGGAGAACATAGTATAGACTGGTTTAGGAGCATTGTTGTCGATGAACAACACGTTAGTTTTAAGGACTATTTTGTTACTTTACTTATATTCAAACTATTTTGAAAATTGGACAACTAAGTATGGAGCATGAATGAAGAGAGCTTATTGCTCATTTTAAGCATCTTTTACAATTTCGGTGTTTGGTAATGGAAAGAGTAACATGAATATTTTACAAAAACCCGAATATTGCTCGCTTTCTACTTGTTCCTTTTGGACATTTTTCAAAACACTTCTAATATGCGTTTGTAGCAAATTTTTAGGGGTACAATTTCGTCTCTGATCCTATTTTTGTGTGGGATATACTAGGAGGGTGATTGGCTGGTTCTCGGAAAAGCAGAAGCCATAAACCAAAGATTGAAAACACGGTCTTAGATTAGCTGAAAGACACTTCTAAACCAGAATTCATAAGATCTAATCTGCATTTAAGTCTTCGTTAGATAGCATAATGACACTAATACTTGACATCTATTCAGTAGTTTTTTTGTTTGGAGGTAGGGAATGTTAGTTTCTCTATCTTTTTGACACTTTATGCTGTGGATTGAAAAGAGAAAGCCCATTGAGACATCATCTTTGATGCCAATTATAATGTTCCTCAACAAACTACTCGTAGATTTTTAACTCGGTGTTTTAGGTCTCTGTAGGGCTAGTCAAATAGCCAAACTGTTCCCAACAACGGTGTCACCGGAAGTCGTGGTTAGAGAGGCAAGATTAGAGGACTGGTGGGAAGTGGCAGAGACTCATTGCAGCTCCTTCTTCCCAGATTACTCTTTCCCTCTAGATTTCGTGTTACGGATAGACAGGCTGGTCGCAATGTTGTCTGGATTCTCCCTACCCAAAGGCTGTGAGAGAACGTGTCTAGTTGCCGTCACTGGAAGAAGCTCAGAGGAAGAAGGGTCCTTCTTTCTTCCATGTGATGAAGGATTCAAAATGAATGGAATATTGAGTCTCGTGAATAAAGGGTATGTGTCTGGGGTTCTTACTGTGGACACCGTTGCTGATTTTATTCCACAGAGAGGTCCATTGAGACAAAGAAGGTGAGTTCTCTCTCTCTCTCCCCTTCGCTAAATAAACAGTATTGTAAGTACTTATTGAGTTAAAACTCATTTTGGTCCCTCTAAGTGTACTTGTAAAGTCAATTTGGTCCATGTATGTTGAGTTGAGTAAATTTAGTTACTTTAGATAAAAAAGTGAATCAAGTTAGTCCCTCTTACAAAATTTACCTTAACCGTTTTACTAAAACGCTAAGTAAGCACGTTAATTGACATAACCACCTTGATATCCCTTGTGTGAATTAACATGTCAACCCAGTGTTTAAATAATATCATTAAAACACATTTTGTTAGGGGACTAACTCCAATCTCTTTTTTAGCTACATGGACGAATTTGACAAGTTGTACAATGCACTACATAGAGGGACCAAATTGACTCACATGTAAACTTAGATGGACCAAAATGAGTATTGATGGATACCCCGGACATGGGGTATCCAGGCCAAGGAAGAGGATTCAAAAGCCCAAGCTCTTCAGCCCTTTTTTCAAGTCACCCTCGGCCCAAGCTCTAACCCCGGATCAACAGATCGGCCAAGTATTAAGGCTGCATTCCATCCAATTTATTTTTTCAGCTTATTACTTATTCTTATTAAAATTAGGTCTCAGAAACAACTTTAAATGTAACTACAATCAATTCAGACAAGACCAGATTTTCAACAAATCAGATGAGATCAGGCAAACAGAACGCAACCTAACTCTTATAATCGTTTTGCAGGCGTGGGATTGCGTACATATCAAATGTGGCCGTGCGGGAGGGGTTTCGCAGGAAAGGGATAGCGAAAAAATTGATTGCCAAAGCAGAGGCGAAAGCCCGGAGCTGGGGCTGCCGCGCCATCGCATTACACTGCGACGCCAGTAACCCTGGCCCCACAAGACTGTACGTAGGACTCGGGTTCAAAATGGTCAAAGTCCCACAAGGATCCAACTGGCCTCAACCGCCGGCCATCTCTCCCGACGTTCGGTACTGTTTCATGATGAAGCTTCTTCATGAACACTAAAGTCAGAGGTAATATGGGTGTGAAAGATTTCTTGTGTGTGAATACAAGGGACAAAGTTTCTTGGAAGTGGGAAAGGTTATACTGTGTATATTCATAAACAGTCATTTCTGTCCAGTTTGAAATTTGGTTTGGAGGAGGAATGAATTATTGTGTACTTTTTTTTCTTTCTTTGTAGGTGAAGAAGTACAGTGCATGTACAGAGTGGTCATGTTGTAAAATTTGTTTCCATATAACACATTACAATCAATCATCTTTAAGCTTATTATATTGCTATGTACTTTATATGGAGCATATGGACAAATAATACATATGGGGGTGAAAATGTTGGATTTAAAAAATAAAATAAAATGCACAAAATTTGTGTGGTAGATGAAGTGAATTGTAATGCTTGAACAAGCCAAATACAAGGAACCCATTAGTGAATAATCAGATGAGGATTATTCTATGAGAATGGTTTCTTGAATTGTGCACTGAATTTACTCCTATCCCCATGGGGATTTAGAGGTTTTAGAGTAATTAATAATTGCCAAATATACCCTTTTAATTCCAAATGACATTTCTCACTTTCATGTGTAGGATCCTTATATTAGGATCTCTCTCTCCAAATTGTGGACTAAGGAGAACCAAATAAAGTTCAATTTAGGGCTTCTTCTCTTCCATTTTTCTTATTACTTGTTATTTATTTTTATTAAAATTCGAGCAGACCAGAAATAATTTTTAATATAACCACAAACAAATAATGTTAGACTTTAACAAAATCATATCATATTCAATCGTATTAGACAAAAAGAACAAGCTCTTAGTACTACATTGTTCCAAACCTAGCTAGAGATGAATGAGTACGAAATACCAAACAAGATTAAACTCATATCCATACCAAATTTGTAATTCATAATATTTCATACCAAATATATGCACCCCGTCGTGATTACTGTATTTTCATTCTACCTTCTTGTATGACTCAAACCCCGATTTACCGATGAATCAATTTGCTAGCATCACAAGCAAATTGACCAAGTGCCTGCTTGACGATAATTTTATTGTTTAACTTCAATATTTTAAAGTTAGTTTGTATATTATAGAACAAAAAAATTATTTAAAACACCAACGCTAATTGAAGACAACATTTTCAAAGAAGGCCTAAACAAGTAAAGACTAGCTGCCAACAGGGCATGCCTGGTAGATAAACTCCAGCCCAAACTTTCAGTATGAAACCAAATATGGGCAACACAGACTGCAAACATATGTAAAGAATGAGAGTAAAATTCAGGCCATAAAATAATTTAAGAACTTTCTTATACTGTAATATACTTTTTAACTGCAAAATGAATTCTCAGCAGGTACAACAAAGAACAATTCCTACAGAGGAATTTAAAAAAAAAAAGAACAGAACAAAAATGAAAAAAAAAAACTAAAACCAAAGTTGAACATTGTCTAAAAATAAATAAAAAAAATAAAACTTACACAACCTATATTACTCTCAAACTTTCAAAGACCTAATCCAAAAAAAAACACTAGATTAAAAAAATTATTCTATAGCCCCTAAAAGCATCAACTTTTTTTCCCCAGTTTTGCTAAATTATGGTAATTCAAAACCTAGTAAAGTTTCTACCCTCAAACAGTTCTGTACAAAGAACCAATGAAATATGGGACAACTTTAAAAAAAACAAACAAAATAGTAATAAAAATCCCAACTGCAGCAGCTACAAGAGAGGAGAAAATCTCATTTACTCCTCACTAGGAAAACTGTCCTTCTTTCTTTCTTCCTTCCTTTCTTACCCCTCATTTGATCGCCGGCGGCGCGGCGGTCGGAGTGGCGGCGGTGCCGGAAGCCCGGCTCCTCATCTCCACCACCTTCTTGTGGGAATTTGAGTGCACGGACGCGACGAAAGTGGGGCTCGCGGCGGGCCGGTACTCCGGGAAGAGGCGTCCCGACTTGTAGCGGACCCCACAGGCGTTGCAGAGCGTCTTCGGGCCCGTGGGCCCCGCGCGCCACTGGGGCGTCTTCGTGATCTCGCAGTGCATGCACTTCCTGACGGCCTCTCCCTCCTCGCGCTCCGGTTTCTGCTGACGTGATGCCGCCGCCCCGGACGAAGCCACCGAGAACTTGATCTTTTTCTTCTTCTTCTTCTTCTCCTCCTCCGCGTCCCGCGGCGGCTCCGCTCCCGGAGCCGCCAGCGGGGTCTCGATGAGCTGCATGACTGGTCGGGGGGGATTGAATGCCACGGGGCGGGGGCGCTTGCTGCGGGCCCGCTGCGGGCCACGCTGGCTCGGGCTCAGGGGCATTGTCGTCATCATGCCACGTGGGCAAGAGGAGCTGCTGCTGCTGCTACTGCTGCTCTCGAGGACCGAAATGGGACTGGCGGCGGCGGCCGCCGCTGCGGCGGCGGTCTTGGATTTATACGGTGGAGGAGGGTTGGGGTTTATTAAACAGTTTTCCTTGGCAAGAGTGAGACCCCTGCCGGAGAACGACTCCTCCACGAACGTCGAAAGCCATTCCAGCTGGACTATGTCCTCGTACTGCCGTTCATATATATTAACCAAAGGAAAACCAATTAGTTATTAAATAAATATGTACAGATATAATAATAATGATATTAATATTAATAACAATATTAATAATAACATTAATAATAATATTAATAATAATAATACTAATAATAATAATAATAATAGTACCAAAAAAGCAATTTGAATTTCAAAGTCCTTCAATTTTTTTATACCCAAAGGAGTGATGAAGATAATATGGGAACCAGAAAGAAAAGAAATTTTAAACCACCACCGACAAGATATTTTTTGACAAAACTGACCTACGAAAATCACATGCCAATCACGTGTTGTGTTTTCTTTACTCATGCTTCCGGTCTCCCATTTATTTATTGTCCAATATAAAAAAAAATATACTCCGTAAATTCTTCCTCTAAAAATTATAGTCTTATTTACTATTTTAGGTTTTCAATAATTTTTGTTTCGTTTTGTGTTTATTAATCATTTTATATAATAAAATAGGTACATCGCTATTTCTTTTATAAAATTTTTGATGCATTTTTAAATATGTAAATTATATTTTTTATTTTCATACAAAATTTTAATCATTTTAAATTTTTTTTGCACGTTATTCAAAATAAGACGATAATTTTGAACGAGCTTGTAGTCACCATCACATTATTCCATCGTCTCTTAAAGATTGGTACAAAAATTAAAAATACATATTTGAAAACCACGTCAACGATTCTACACAATAAGACATGATAAAAATATTTTTTTTATCGAATAATCAAACAAAATAAACAAATAAATAAATTTTTTCTGACTTTTAAATAATGAAGAGTGTACTTCTTGTTAGGACACTTAAAAGTTTATTACAAACCACTAGTCTACAATCCACCCAATATCTATTTTTATTAAAGTTTAAGAAGATACTCCAGGTAGATTATACATTGGACCTAACCTACGGAGTATAACTTTTGTTATTTGTTTTTTTACAGTGGATTATTCACAAAAAAAGCCCACCGGCCCATACCCGAATTTTTATATTTTTAAATTTTAAACACTTGATTTTAACTTTTTTTAATAACGTAAATTATTACGGAGTATTTAATTTTAAGTTTCAGAAAATATTTTTTTTAATGCCGGAAAAGATAAAATCAATATTGGTAAAGGTGAGCTTACCGGAACGGAGAGTTCGGCCGAGAGGTCGGAAGCGGAATTGGCGGCGGCGGCGGAGAAAATTGGGTCGGAATCCGGCAAAGGCTGGTTCCAAATGCCGGGGAAATTGACGCAGTCGCCGGAGCCGACACCGCCGGCGCACTCGTTCTCCGGCGGAAAATCGATCAAGTCGTCAATGTGATCGAAGAAGCTGCCGCAGTCCATTTCATCGACGAAATTCGTACTACCCATTTTTTTTGTCACAAACTTTCACCTGCGAAAATAATAATTATAATTATAATTATAAATAACAGTTCTTGATCAGCTTAAACCGACGGGAAAGAAGAGTATTTATAGCCCTTCAGCCCCCAAAAAACTCTGAACTGAAACCGTCTTAACTTCGTATATATCCATTCCGTTCTGGCAAAAAGGTGAGGGAAAAAATGGGAATTTTGAATTTCGCACAAAAAGAAAGCAAAATCACACAATTCCGGCACTCTGTTTCTTGAAAATTCTCAGTTTCAGAGGGATTTGTGGGCAAAAAACGAATCTTTTTTTAAAGAATTGACATAATCGGCCATTAGAGTGAGAAATCAACACGAAAAAAGCAGGAGAAGATGAATTGGGAGGCCAAAGAAGGAAGCCTTGTCAAAACAGAGTGCCGGAAAAGCCATGATTTCGAAAGGAAAAGACCCATTACAGGGGAGAAAGAAATCAAGAAACCAAAAGAAGTACCTTTGAAGCGTGTGGGGGGAGAGGAGACGAGAGAGAGAGGTGGTGGTGGCGTAGAGATGAAGAAGATGGAAAGGGGGGGGGGGGGGNGGAGAGTGAGGGGTTGAAGAAGAGAAGAGCTAAAAAAGGGAAGAGGTGAGAGTGGGGTATGTATGGTATGGTATGGTAATGGTATGGTAGGTTGGGATCTCTCTCTCTCTCTTCTTTCTTCTCACTACTCACTGCTAGCTGTCATTTATTAAGTCTTCTCTTACACCTCTTCCTGATTAGGGGTGGACCACCCCACACTCTTATGGCCCCACCCACCCATTGCCCTATGCCCAATATCTCACCTCTCCCCCTCTAAATAGAAATAGCCTTTTCTTTCTTTTTACTTAAAAAAAATTGAGGTCCATTCTAAAGAATCTTTTAGTATTGAAGGGAGGATCACATGAAAAAAAAGGTAAATTAGATTTCAATTAGATATTGATAATAAAGAGTAGAGCGTACATTTAGTCTTTGCAGGAGTCTTAGAATTAACATAGTTGTTTTCAGTGTAGTTGTTATAAATCAAACTTGAATATTATTCTCAGGACACTCTTCTTGTTCAAAATTCAAGGAGTTGAGAGGTGAGTTTCAAAAGAGTACATTAATGTTAGATTTCTAGCAATGATGATAAAGATGATAGTGTTTTGTATAAGGTTTTTAAATGACCAAATACAAGCCTTAGAGCATCTACAGTGGGCGAAAAAATACATCGTGCCACTACGAAGAACAGGGTGCCCGGCGAGACTTCACTACAAAGAGGCGAGTGAGCCGGAAGACGCGGGACGCACTGAGAAAACGGCATGCGGCGCGATGAGAAGGAGGCGCGGTGTCCATTGCTGACGTTCACCGCGCCGGTCCACTTTTTTAATTTTTTAACAATTTAATTTTTTTATTTTAATTTTTAACCCTATAAATTCACCACATTCCCATCTCCATTTCATCCACTCTCATCTCACTCAACTCGCTCTTATCTCACTCTCATCTCACTATCCAAATATGAATTCTTGCGGAAACTTCCCTTTCGAAGATTTCGACCTCGATGCTGTGATGTCATTAGATTCACAAACTCCACTAATTTTCAGACCAGTGGAGCGGTGTTGAGTGTCATCCCACATCAGAAGTTCAAGAGCAAAATAATCGGTATATAAGCTCTTGAGTTGAACTAACTAATCGATTGAATTCAATCTTTTAATGTGGTTCATCCCAAGTGTCTTATTACCCAATCTAGTTATCCTTACCTCATCCTAAATTCTATCATCGTATCAGAGCAGGTTTTGGCCTACCTCGTTTGTCAATGTGTCCGTCTAGACGTTCATTCCTAGCGGCCCGTTAGTCTTTTGCCCAGTTGTCCGTATGGAGTATGTACCCAACGGCCTTTGGCCCGTTTAACACGATTGCTCGTCTAGATGTTCATACCCAACGGCTCGTGGTCCTTTAGGTGTTGGCGCTCAAAAAAATCATGGGAGTTTATTTGCAAGTGGTCAACCGGTTAGATTCAAAATGACCCAGTTGTCCACTTGAAGGGGAGTGTTGAGTGTCATCCCACATCGGAAGTTCAAGAGCAAAATAATCGGTATATAAGCTCTTGAGTTAAACTAACTAATCAATTGAATTCAATCTTTTAATGTGGTTCAACCCAAGTGTCTTATTACCCAATCCAGTTATCCTAACCCCATCCTAAATTCTATTAAACGGGTTACGACTTTGCCCCATTCTAGGGCTCCAACTATAGCACATACCAATTGTCGGCTGTTAATACGATCGACTACAATGTTTTTGAGTTGGAGCTTATTACCCATGGGATTAGTAAACGGAAGACCAAAAGAATGAAGGGTCGAAGAAGAATACCCCAGCAAAAAGTCTAGCGTTGGTGAGGTTCTACGTTGACATGTCACAGCATGCCATGATCGGCAATTCCTAAAAATCTAAAATATTTTGGGAGCGTGTCACGGTGAAGGATGATATCCAGAGGCCCCGTGGTACGGTCAAACATGACAGTGAGATGCTTTGGAAACACACGGGGAATGTGCTCCCAAAAGTTTAATAGTTCGATGGCTTGTATGCCAATAACTTGAAGAGGTGGCCGAGTGGGTCCAATACCGATGACATTCTCTCGAAAGCGTCAGACCTTTATTATCAAGCAGAAAAGAAGATTTTCAAGTTCTAGGAGAATTGGGAACTTTTGTAGAAAAGCCCCAAAATAAGCATTGGGGTGAACGCCGAAGGATCAAGGCCAAAGCGATTCACACTATTCGAGACTGGTTCCTACTTGACGAGCAGGGCCGAGTAGTCCATTGACGTCAATGCCACAGAAGATAACTTTTCCCCACTCTCGGGGGAAGAACCAAAAAAGAAGAGTTGTTTGATCAACACAATGGTGGTAAAAAAGGCAAGGGGGAAGGCCAATGTGACAGGTCCTAGTATACCACCCCACCCCAAACCCGACGTTGGATATAATGAATAGAAACTTAGAAAACATGACCTTGGTTCTTCATTGCAACAACCTCATGGCACTCATGGCAATGGATATATCGGGATGTTAGAGTTGCAGTTGAAGATGCACAATGCCATGATGGTGGTAGTTCACGCTATGATAAGTAGGGCAAATCAATAATATTTGTTTTTTAAGTTTTAACTTTCCAAACACTTTTCTTTTAGTATTTATAATTTTAATTTCAATGTTAAGCATGTTATATTGTTCCTTTCATTAATTTAATGTGGTATTGCCTTATTTTAAATTTTTTCATAGTTACAACTCTTTTTATTTTTTATAATTATTCATATATTTTTATTAATAAACAAATATTTTATTAAATTTGTTTAAATTCTTAATAAAATATGATGAACAATTTAAAAGAAACAAAGAAACGAGGCAAAAGGGTGATAGCAGTGCAGGTGTTTTGGAATAGGGCTTAAAAAGAGAGGGGTGCTGATATGGTAGGATATATATATATATATATATATATATATATATATATATATATATATATATATATATATATATATAAAATTCATATTTAAATAGATTTTAGTTTCGTAATTGTGAAATTAATGTGTTTAAATAATATTTCCTCTATCTCAAAATAAGGCTCCTTTTTACTAATTACTAATATTGTTAAACTAAGTCTTCTTTCTTTACACATTTTTATCAATTATTTGAAAAAAACAAAATAGTTATGTAACCACTTTGTTTTCAAAAAAAAACTTCACTTGCTCATTTTTAATATATAATTTTTATATGTAAATTCTTCATTATTTTTCATTTATATTTATTTGAAAGTAAATTAAATCAAACATCGTAAACTGAAACATGATCCAAATTTCACAACGCAAGGACTAAATCAAAAAAAAATAAATATTTTATTTACATGATATAATTGTAAATAGTTTTAAACAATCTAAAAAGTTGTTTTCAAAGATATAAAACAATATTTAAAATTTTATTTATTATTTTGTGAGATCCTAAAAACTTTAAAATTATTTTTCATATTAAATCTGGAGTAAGTTTTTATTTAAAAAATGGACTAATTTGAGAAAACACCAATTAGAAAAGAACATTTTGAAAAGTTAATCACTACTCCGTATATGTTTGACGATGGAAATTACCAAAATACCCCTAACTTTACGTCATTTTGACAGATGTCTAGTCAATAGACTTACCAAAGCATGAATCAGAATCAAAGGTTACCACCATGGTAATTATTTAATTTTTGGGAACTAATTTGGAAAATTATGAAGTAGTATTTCAAAAAAAAATTATTTTTTATCTCATTGAAAATTTTAAAATTTTTATTTCAGAGCATTAATATACAATAAAAATTGAGAATAATTAACGAGTAAAGTTTGTCTAGTTTATCTACTTAAATTCTTGTTTGTTTTCATTTGCTTTTATACTTTTGTTTTTAAAAAATTCACTATTGATACCAACTTTACTTTTAATAATTAATTAAGTATACACGCTTTCTTAGTTTAAAAACATTCAAATTTGATTAAAGGGAAAAGTATAGGAAGTTCTCAAATTTACAGACATTTTGAACCTGTACTTTCGCTTTATAAAAAAATACTCCGTACTCATTATTGATTTGAATAGTGCTCATTTTCTTACTCTAATTGTGTTTCATCAAATTTCTAGTAAATAATGTTCATTTTTGTATGGAAACACTTGTTTTACAACTTTTAAGGTTGAATTTAATTTGTTACCAAAAATGTCCTCTCTTCGTTCAATTAAATGAATACTCCGTATTACATTGATAAAATAAAATAATTTTCCAAAAATAAATTTGTAAGATAATTGAACATAATTTATTTTAGAAATCATCCTAAATAGGACTAAAACATAGAGAAAAGTACCAAAATAGGATTTTCATGTTTTTTTTCCTGGAATAGGACTTTACATTGTGGTAATGTGACTTTGCATTGTGGTAATGTGGCAGTGTACATGTGCAAATTACTATACTTTTTTGGTAATGTATATGACCATGTTTGGTAATGTAAGTCCTATTTCGAGAATAAAAACATGGAAGTCCTATTTTAGTATATTTTCAATGTTTTAGTCCTACTTTGGTCTTTCTCCCAATTTATTTTTATTCTAATATATACTCCGTAATATTTTTTTTCTTTAATTTATAAATTAAAGCGGGTATTGGATTCACCGTAGGATTGTGATTGGGTTCCGTGTTTCACATTAATTTGCAGGGTGACGTTATTTATGGGATTTATTACTTTTTCGAGGATACATACATACGCGTATAATACTCGATGTACACGCACTTCCACACCCAAAGTTATAAAACCTGCAATTTTCTTGCCTTTTTAATATATTCTTCCTTAGCTTTCTTTCCCTTGAAGGAAAATAAATATCCATTCACATACACTTGTGTATAGTAGTACTCTCTATATTTAGAAATTTACCCTTCCTCCCAAAGTGGTTTAAACTTTGACTATTTGAGTCTCTTTAACTATTTTTGTTTACGTGAATGTTTTCATTAATCATTTAATTTAATAAAATAAAATATTTTTGTATCAAGTTTTGTTGCATGTTTGATGTAGCTTTTTAATATATAATTTATACATT